CACTTTGCTCCGCACTTTGCGCGCACACAAACAGCCTCTGTGGCCACCAGGATGAGCTTTAGACACTCTTCTAAAACCTCATTCAGAGGCAGCTGCCCTCGCCGCGAGTTGCGACGCTTTCCTCTTCAAAAAAAAAGAGCCGAGAATGGGGGATAAAAGGGGGATAAAGGGTGGGATGGAGTAGCTCCACAAAAGCACGCGTTTTTCCGAGTAAAAAAAAAAAAAAAAACTGTCAACCGCGCGGGGATTATTGGAGCTCCAACTCAGGCGATGGGGATTACACCGTTATATACGCACGCATTCTGCGTTCGGTAAAGAGAGCGCGCGCACACGGACGCATTCCTGGACTGACAGGTGCCTCCCGTCTATGCCCCGGCCAAAGCCGGCGGCCCGGCCACAGTAAACCGGCCAAGCCCCGCACGGGAACGAGCACACACCGTTAGGTCCTCCGGAGTCGCTGGTCCCCGGTACGGTTCCCTCCTCTGACGCGCAGCTGTCGTCCTGCTCTCCCAGTCTTCTTTATCGACTTTCTTCTTCTTTTTTTTCTCTTATACCTCCTTGATCCCTCTCGTGACTCCTTGTTTTTCTTTCTCTTTCCACCGCTCTTTCCTCACTGTGTTTGGATCTCTATCTCTCCACGGCTACCGCTCACTGCAGCAAAAACAGACCGTCTAAGAGACGAGAGGGAGGGGAGGGGACAAGAGAGGGAGGGAGGGAGGGAGAGAGAGAGGGGAGGAGGGAGGGATGGAGGGAGGGAGGGGATTATAATACGATTTGGCCCATACCACCGGGATAACAGGGCCAGAGCAGGGGCCTACTGGCTGAGAGGGAACATTAAGGAGATGGAGCAGATAGAGAAGCGTCATCTCACCAAACCGAAATATCACAATATTGCCCCATAATGCTCCACGCGTGAGTTAGGGCTGACCTTATCAGGCTTTGGGGGAATTGTGTCAGCCCCTGTAGACCGGCACTGCAGGCTTTGCTGGGTCCTTATGCACGTTTTATCTACAGGTTTTACTACCCTGACCCCCTTTTATATACATTTATATATATATTTATAGGTTTAGGCCTACAGCGTATGATTTTCCTAAAATGAAGAGGTCATACACAGCTCATTGTCACGGTTCTCGGCAGAATATGACGTTTCTTATCTCTGCCGTTATAGCCCATTTCTTGCAGATAGGCCCAGTGCTATCTCCCACGGGCTTGATCATTTGCAGCATGGTAATTACGGAGTCTTTGGCCGTGGGGAGTTGTGGGATTTGGCTGTGTCTGGCTCTTCAGCTCCCCGAAATGTGTGTAACACGCCGATACGTCTATATTTCCCAACACTGCCCGCAAGAATTGTCTTTGGCCATGTGCTTTATTTCAGAGGGAAGTCCTTTTTTTGTAGTTCTGACGATTGGTGCGCCGGGCCCGACTGGGAATCAGGATGCAAGCGGTGGGAGGAAAAGAGGGAGGGTTGTTCAACTTGCCAGAGAGGATTAAGGATTAGTTTTACTGGCGGATTAGGTCTCCGCGTGGGGAGGCATGATGGGGTTAAACATGGATGGCGACGGCCGCGCGCGACAGCCCAATCAGGGGTGGAGGCGACAAAACCGGAGCTGAGGAGGTGGGTTTGAGGAAAAAACACAGAAGAGGAGGCGGGAGGGGTTCTGGGGGGGGGGATTGGCGTTTCAGAGATCTTCAAGCAAGCAGCTGCTTTCCACTAAAAAGCGAGAGACAGAACCACTGAAGGTGGACTTCTGATTGTGGATCAGACTATTCCAGATGGGCACCCACGGGAGATTCGACTCTACTAACACACAGTGACAACAGCAATATTCACTTTGCAAAAGTAGCATCACTTGTTTAGAGTTCAGCTCATTTGCATGCAGACAAATCTTGAGACATGCAGCCTTTTCTGGCAGTGGGAGTTCATTGATGTTGAAAGTGAACCGGAGTCTTTATACCATCCCTCTGTCTCCAAACCAAATGAAGGGAGCAGAGACGCGGCATCTGGCGTCATTAAACACTTGTTACGAGGGTGGAAAAAAGGCTTTAAGTGCTTTGTTTGCTGCGGAAGGTGTTTGTTCTGCTCTAAACGGGTGGACAGCTCCAGGTGCTGAAACGCTGCTGCTGCTGATGCTGATGCTGCACGAGGTGTGTGCGCGCGACAGCCGCGTGCGTGCGTCCTGCGCGTGCAGCCAGGGCAGTAATAGGCTGGGCTGGAAGCCCGTGTTACACCAGACCTGCTGTTTCATGCATCCTGTTTTATTCTTTTTTTTTCTCCCACGGAACCGTTTAAAATCTGCATAATAAAACGTTGACCTTTGCGTGATGAATGGGATCGTCCATATAAACGTGCACCCCGATGCCCCGAGCTTTGGTTTCTGCATAAATAAACTAAAATGAATGAAAAAAATAGCCTCTCTGTTCATCCCTGATTTATAATTCGGTCATTTATTTTTAGTGTTCGTTCACGTCTGGAGTGGATGCAGCCCTGCACGTGGCTTCTCTATGTACGCAAGCCATAAAACACAACGCAGCCCTGTTTGTTTATCACTCCGATCTGCATCCAGACAAAAAGAAAATAAAAATAGCACCTTTCCCATCACATCTCTGCCGGGACTCGAACCCGGAGCCTCTGGATTAGAAGTCCAGCGCGCTATTCCATTGCGCCACAGAGACTCAGGCACATATATCTCGATCAAAACCGCATTCATACGGCCCCTCCCAGCCCCGTGCAGCATCCTCTCATCCCTCAGCATCAGGACCGCAGCCCTGGGAGCTGTTACCCGGACGACCGGTAGGGGGTGCTGCTTCCGCATTAGCAGTAAATCCCTCCTCCTCCCCCCCCTCAGCCTCCGGGCAGGGTATCTCATCCCAACATCATAATGTCTACATTACTTACATTATCAGCGCATCAGCACTCACGGGGAGAGGGTCTTATTGAAAACAAGCGGACCGTGTTTTTATTTCTCCGGTCCCGGTTTTTACTCAGCATATTGGATATTTTTCAAGAGGCAGACTCTCTCAGATCCGGCCCGAAACCGGAGCTGGAGCACTTATGTGCAAAATCAGATAGACAGAGGCAAATACGGCACTGTCAAAAGCACCGGCTCCTTCAGAGGCTATTATGTATGTGAGGCTCACAAGTCAATTTTCAACTCTAATCTGAACATATTTAAACTGACGGGCATCTTCGCCTGAAGGCAGCACGAATAAACCCATAAGCCAGTTTAGTTGAGGGTAAACTAGACAAAGAGCTCGAGCCGTTTTTCCTCAGTCCAGGTTCAGAAGATCTGAACAGACAGAATTCTGTTTGCTTTAAATCACCGGTGCATCCTCTGAGCGTTTACCCGTCTTCTTTTTCATGCGTGCTTGTTACTGTAGCGTCGGCACGCGGGGCTGAACCTGACACGGCACCACCGGCTGCTTTCATCCACTCTGCAGGACAAAAGCTTCTCAGGTGCGGCGCGGGGGGCTCCTGTGGGGCTCTCCGAGGGAGGCCCAGCCTGAGGCGGGCTGCAGGTGAGGAACAGGCTCACACACACACACCCCAGCCCCTTTTCACCGCTGTAAAAAATTCATCTGAGCATCTGCAGCCTGTGCAGAACGCAGCAGCCGGAGGGCCGAAAGAGAGAGGGGTGATTATGACGTCACAGCTCGATCAGACTAATTATGTAAGGACACCAGATGTAGGTCACGTCTAATTTCGGGCTCTTGTTGTTGATCACACGGAGAACAACTGTGAAATTAAAATAAAATGGGTCATATTTGCATTCTGCCTCAGTTAATGACCCCAAATATTTCCAGACAGTAATTAGCTCCAAGGGACAAAAGAGAGTAACAGCGGTTCTGTGAATGGTATAATTTAAATCTTTATTCAATACTTTGATGATCCGACCTGCAGTGGGCCAGAACAGGACATATACATAAAACACCCAAAGTGCATCCATGCCGCAGCTCCTTCCACCCCCCCCCCGCTGCTCAGAGCATGGCGATAGCTATGGATGTGAGGATGGACAGGCCGATGACGGTGTAGCCTGTGCGGTAGACCTCTGGGATCCTGAAGCCTTTACCGATATCCCACCACTGACACGGGGAAGAAAAAAGAAAAAACAAAGACACAATTCAGAATAAGAAGAATCCTGTGATTACAGGATTATATTAAGACAAAACGAAACAGAATTGAAATAATGAATTACAGGGGCTGTAGCTATCATGACATGTTTGAATAGAATGATGAGGTCCTACCAGGTGACGGATGCCGTTGTAGGTGTGGTAGGAGACGGGGAAGGCAATGCCGAACTTGGCCAGCCCGATGAGGTAAGGGCCGACGGTCAGCGAGTGGATTAAGTCCAGGTAGTCTGGATAGTTTCCTGGTAACACCAGCGCGGCCACGGCAAAGGCTGAAATGGCTGCACACAGAGACAAGTACGGAGGCTAAATGCTGACATGTGGGGGAAATTAAATCTTGATTAAAAAAGAAAAATTGTTTTTAAAAAAAGAGCAGAAGCAACTCAAATTTGCCCTTGTTATATCACATTGCATGAGTCACAAACCCCACGGGTCAGTGTTTCCCAACTGTTGTTTGGTTATGTAAACACTTTCTCTTCCTGCTCTTAAATGAGAGCCAAACAATGGCTCTGTATCAAACCAGCTCCTCATTGGCAGCATTTTGAAACACAAATGGGCACAACTGTTCTCTATTGCATTTTATTTTTGTGTGGCCTGGATAATGAAAGAGCCACATAGTTTCAGAATGTAGTTTCAAGAAAATGCACAACGGCCCTAAAAATAAACTACAGGTTAAGTTTTAAACAGTAAAACAAGGAATGAGACATAAACTGAGTGTGTGAATTAAATTATTTAAAGGCTCCATTGCCACAGAGAAATGTTTGGATGTTAAATAGAAAGTTAACTTCTCCAGGGAAGTTGGTGTCACTCGATATCCTGACAGAAGGTTGAAACGCTGAGTGACCGTTACTGTCAGACAGCTGAGACAACTGACCCCACTGAACCCTTTAACACGTAAACAAAACTAACTCCGTTTTTACGCACTAATGTGACATAGCTTCGAGCCTTCACGCCAGGCTGGAAGCTTCTTTTCATGGTTGAATCCCATTAAACAACTTCTTTTTTCCAGTAAATGCTCCAGTAAAAGCTGAAATCAATAGTGATGGGGTAAAATGCCCTGAAGAGATTTTCCGGGTCAATCAAAAGCAGGCGGCGGCCGTACAGTACTGCCCGGCTTTGATGTCCGAATTATCCAGCAAAGACTCGGGTCGATTAAAATATGGATGAAAAACTACATGGATTAATATAAAAACTCTTTTGGAAGCACGTATTTATTCAAATGTGAAAGAGATGCTTGTATGTCAGGAACTTCAATCATGAAAGACAAAAAAAGAATAAAAGAAAATTGCTTTACCTCCACTGAGTCCCACTCCAGTTCCTCTGAATGTGATGGACATCACCATGGGGACAGACCATCTGCAACATAAATATCAAACATATGTGACCCAAACACACACACCGGCTGACACACTTCTCTTGTAAAAGTCACTGCTTTTCTGTTCAACAATGAAGCCTAAAGTTTACCTTAATACAAAGCATGAGTTCATATTTGAGCAATGTCAACATTTCACTCAACAACAGAGCCCATGATCCAATCAGGATAAAGGACATACCTGTAGATTGTTAAATGGGGTGACATGGGTCGGTTTAATCTGGCATTTTTGGCCCAAAACTTGTTCATCTCATCCTTAGCTGTGCTCCCCATTGGAGCAGCACTGAAAACAAGTGGAAAAAGGGAACAAGCGTGAGAAGGTTAGCAACATGGTAACACATGTTGTATCAGCATTATTACAATTCAAAGCATATTCATGCGAGTTGTCACACGAAACTTACTGTCTATAGAGAACATTGTACTGTGGTCTGGAAAGACAGACGCCCTGACGGGCAAACGTCCTGTAGACAAAAATTAAGAAGTGTTAGATTTATGGGTTAGTATTATGATTTTATATGTCTTCAAAATACAGTTTATTAAAGTCAAGCATACAGCATCCTTTAAACTGGGGTTTGTAGGAAATATAATAAATCAAAAGTGGAACTAAACCCTGGCCCTCTTAATGTCAGTCCTCGGCATATCATAATATAAATGTTTTTACCATGTCACAGGAGAATTATATTGCGTTTATTTCTCACAAAGTATTGCATTATCCACATAAACTTTGACAACTACCCGATATGAGAGCAGGGACAATTACGTAATTAATCCGCAGCCTGGTAATATAAAAGACTCATTATAACAATAGTTATACTCTTCGGAACAAAGTATTGTTCATCTGAAGACCATTGAAGGTAAATAAAGTGGGCAAAGCTTAGAAATCACTTCGGTTTCTGAAGCAAGAAGCACAACATTGAGCAAAACAATTAGCTAACCCGAGGCTAAACTAAAGACTAATCGGTTCGAAACCCTGGATTAATAACGGATTAAAGCTGCGTCAAATGCTATTATGAATGCTATAAAGGTACGTGTACAACTATACATGTCCGTTATCAATTATTCTTGGATACAAAGTCCACTGTGATAGCTGTTCAATGCAGCCGAACACTGTTAGCATTAGCCAGTTAGCTAACTAAAGCTAGCGTTGTATGGGAAGCATATTTTCAAACTAAGACAATAAACAGATATTGGAGGTTCCATTTGACTTTGTTGCACCACTGCTATCTAAATACATAACCACGTTTTTCAAACAGAAAGCCTGACAATGAGAGAAGAAAAGTACCACAGACTGATAAACTAACATTACAAAAAGTACTGACCTTAGAAGCAACGCCATGTTCGCTAGGCAGTGGGCGGAAATGACGTCACTGTTGTTGTTCCGCGCGTGCTGTTATCTAAAACCTTGAGGGTTGGTTTAAGGTCACCCAAAGGGTGAGAGTCTTCATGTGGAAGGCTCTGTCTGACTCCGTTATGTGTAGTTTTTTTCTCTTTGACTGCATGTTTAAAATGAGAAATTGAAATGAAAAAGTACCAGATAAAGATTAATTCAGTCATTAATTCACCCATGTCTATTATCAAGGACAAATTAATGTATGTACTCATGCTCAGTTATTATTTATGAGATTCATACTTTTGTTTACTAAATAGAGTCTATATATTTTGCAACTTCTCTTAGTCTTATAGCAGCTGATTTTGATTGTTTGCTTTAATTGTTTTTTTTTTGCTAAAAAAAAATCGAAGAAACAATCCTGTTTCCATAAAGTTAAGAATACTTGTGTGATATCTAAAGTTTTTAGCTCTGTGTTAAACTGAGTATAGTACAAGGACAGACACTTTTGGAAAAAAGTTTTTAAATACTTCCCAGTTGGAGGATCTCATTTCTGTGTTGGCCATCTACATGAATGAACACAAACTCCATTAATAGCACACATAAGGTTTAACTGTGTTGAGCTGGAAATTAAAGTTGCCAACTGTCTAGTCTTAACCCTGATATTCGTTAGGGGGGCTTTCAGTCTCAACAATTACCTACTAATAAAAGTTAATGTGCTTTAAAATGAGCAAGAAGTACAAAGTTTTAAGGTTTGCAAAAAAAAGGGCTGTATGGCAGCATTAAAAAAGTTTTCCCATTGTGTGTTTACATAATCTTCGACTCATTGTATGAGACTGGCTTTAGTTTAATCCTCCGAGGAAACGTTGATTGTCCTGCCTACGGATACAGTGATCAAATTTAAAAAAAATAATTGTCATTCTTGAAATTGCAGAAATGTATTCTGCTTAGTTCATGTCCACATCTTTATTTGATTTATGTATCCTTTTTATATTAATTGTACAGTGTCAGGAGATAAACTGTGTCACACTGACAATGGTTATTGAGTTATAGAGTCCATACAGTGATTTAAAATACAGAATCTAATCTATTTTAAACATAGTGGCACCTGGAGAACTGAATATCAGGAAAATTCAGTGATGACTTTCAGCGTTTACAGTCTTGTATGCGCTGAAAAGAACCTCTACAACTGGTTATAGTGGTAAGTGTGTCCCTGTCCCACCTTTTTTCCAAAGGTGCTGTGGAAATGAGAGATTGTAATGATACAATTTCTCTGTTTGAGCATTTAATTTGTTGTCCTACTAGTACTTTTCAAATCAAATTGGACCACGCGCAAGCAATCCGACATTTACTTACTGTACTAAGTTAATGATGCCCAGAAGCAATTTTAAATTGAATTCCCCACCGCTCTTATATTAATGTATAAGCAGGGTACATATATGTCTGATAGGAAAATTAGCCATACTCGCTTAGACACAAATCGAAACAAATAAGTCAAAGCAATAAGGAGTGACAGAAAACAGAATCCACCAAACAAGAAACATGTTGGAATAACATTTTAATTGGTATCTTTCACATGGACGCTTTTTTGTATTGCTTCCTGCCCAAACATGGCAGTACAGAATGTTGCTTAGGTGGCAGTGTGTTTAAGGCACCAAGGTGTACACAAGCGTGTTTCTGCTGGAAATGTCTTCTGATTAAATGAAAAATGAGCAAAGCTCAAAGCACAATCAGAATCCTATTTTCAGCAACATTCTATGATAATCAGATTTGTGAACTGATCCATGTAATATTACAACTGACAGACACACGCACCTACTTTTACCCTCGCAAGCTTGAACAAACACACAAAAGCAGACACATGCGCCGGCGCGCAACTCAAACTGACATTTTCTGAATGTTAATAATACGTCTCCAGCTCCACCCAACCTGGAAAAAGATGAAGAGAGAAGCAGAAAAAAGAAAGAGCGTGTCAGAGAGCAAAATGACGGGCGAGCAGGTTTCATTATATCCCTTTGTATCGCTCTATTTGTATTCATCTCGTAGCCTTTGTATCCACACATTTCCAAATGAATCCTCTGATAACTCCAAGACTCCGATCAGCGGCCCGTGACACACAGATTAACAGAAATGATTAACTGTCACTATAGATTGTTTTTGTCTCCTCATGTCTTGGCCCTCATCAGCTGAGACGCCATGGCAGTAAGCAGATTTTCGGCCGGTTTGGTCCATGTCACATGCACAATCTGTAGGGGCATATCTGGAGAGTCTTAATCAGCTCGCTTTAATTTCCTCTATAATCATTTGCCACCGGCTCTGTTGGAGTTAGCAGGTACGCTCAATGTCTTGGTTTTGGTTTTACATTTTGTCCGTTTGGTCTTTGGCAAAGAGCATAAAGACTTCCCTGTTCTGCGTATTTACATGTTTTTTCATGCTACTGGACACTGGTCGATAAAATGAGTGTTTTTTCTGTCTGTCTGTCAGTCTGTTATTTGACCCCAATCATCCCTTTCTGCCATCACAGTGTGTTAAATGTACGAGATCACAGCATAGCTTTTGAATCAGTGATTTCATCAACTTATAGCGTTATTTTTGTCTTCCTTTGTTCCTCCACCAGAAGGCCACATAATGCCAACAGTCCTCCCACGAGCCATTTCATCAAATTACACACAACGCTGTGCTGTGGATGAATGAAAACAGTGTGATAACAAGCCGGCGTTGTTTGGTGTGCGCGGGTACACAAAGACTTCTGGTTTTGCTCGCTGGAAACTATTAATAGAGTAATGACATTATCTGCAGGTGTGCGGGAGTGGATGGTACTTTCATGCTGCCTGTTGAAAATGTGGAGAAAAAAAGAATGCCTTGATCTAGTCTAAAAAGCATGAAAAGATGGGGAATTTTAAAGTACAGAGGAAAAGATAAAATGCAAAGAGAGAAAGGTACACAACGCTGTGATGGATGTGAAATAATCAAGATCTGGGTTTTCTTTTTTGGCATCACGTACTTTGAGATTTTAAATCTTCGTTTGATTGAATTATTTATTCTGTTGGTTTGATATTTTTATTTTGCTTGTTTCATTCCTGCGTCCAGTCTCGTGTTTAGATCTGGTCATTATTCTGGATTGCTCAGTTTGCTCATCTCTTCGGTTCTCAGCTCTATTTTTACACCTGTCTCCAACTCAAACAGCCACAGCTCCAGTCATCTCATTAGTTCCCCTCAGTAATTATTCCTCCTGGTTTATTTCCGTCGAGTCACATCCCTGACATTACTGTCCTCACTTGGACTTCTAATGCTCTCCAGTTCCTGTTTCTGCTTTGCTCGGGATTTGTCAGTGGTTAAGTTGTTTTATGAATTTAGCCTTTGGTATTTAGAGTTTGGTTCTTGATTTACCAGCTCAGCTGTACATTTAGCTTGTTATTAAAATAAATATTTCTGTGTTTTTTTCCCAAATGTTAAAACAACTCAACCCAAACATATGAATGAACTTAAGTAAATTGAATAATTATCATTATTTATATATATTTTCAAAGAATATAACAAAGATAGTTGCTGTTCTGTCACAGTTGAACATGTTACCAAATGCTGGGATGAAGTTAAAAGTAATTTTGATAGAAATCGGGTGCATGCACAGCTCTTGGCCCAAGTATCAGAAGAAATGAGAATTTCTGGTTTATAGGCTGTGATTTTATGCTCCATTTATCAAATGGAATTTTTCAGTAAACTGGCAGACGGCAGGGCATTTACATGTTGTTTTGTCAGAATTCAAACCTGGAAGACAAACAGTAATCAGTCGTGTGTTGCGGGGAGAGGGGCTTTGAAAACTGGAGAATTGTTTAGTATTGACTTGCACACACTCGGCTGGATGCATGATAATTCTGCGCCGCTTTTCGAAAAGGGCAAGACCCAAAGTTTCTTTTGTGGCTCATCAATGGATTAATAACAGCTTTAAAATGAAAATTATTACAGTTCTTCTGTCACAATGCATGTGTAATTCACATTGATTACCCTCAAATCAGTTAGAAAATTGGCTTTGTTCGACTCCAATAGGACAGCTGCATCCGCGGTTGACAGCCCCTCCCTTCCAACCCGTTCCTTTGACGTTACACAATATAGAGAATCTCTTACAAAGAAGTTTATGATAATAATCACTCAGGACCTTCGACTCTGTCTCACAGCAACATGTCACATTGATCTGTGGCTGGTGCCAAAAAAAACACAGACAAACGCTTCACCTTTGGATGAGTGGTTTGAAATGTGTTAGTTTATCAGAGAGAAACGACAACAAGCCCCTTTTAAAACAATTCCATGTGTTATTTTTATTAATTTCGAAGCTGTTTGGCTGCCATCGCATAGCTTCGCTAAGTGGGCTAAAATTGGACCCTAAATGACTGAAATAGATTCATCCTGTTGGCTGGGGTCCAGATGGTATAGATTTTTGAGACTAAAGCAAAAATAATTCACGCTGGTTTTATTATTTCTTTAGTTTGTGCTTGTTTGTTGTGACAGTGAGGTTATTTCCTCTGCATAAGCAGCAGAGCTTTCCTGGGACCCTTCACATCTGCAGAGGAAAGCTGCGACTTCGATCTCAATCACCGATGCCTTTGGGGAACAGTGGGCAGCCTCCTCTTTTATGGTGTTTACTTTTATCAAGGACAGTTACGAAGGCTGGGATATATTGAGCGAACGATAGAAAAGGTCTTGATGGAAAACAGCCCGTGTGGCTCCTGAGATAAGGGACTCAACCACCATACTTTACCGCGACTTGACAATTTCTCTTCCAGCTTTTTTAACAAGACACATAAGCTAGACAACTTTTGATCTTTTTTTTGTTCTTGTTTTTTTTTTTAAAGAACTGCTTACCTCCTGGGCACCTCCGCAAAATCAATTTACGGACTTCATCATAAACGAAGATTAGGAGACTGTATGGGAAGGCACAGAACCACCACCCGATCCTGAGAAAGAGGAGCAGAACAGTGGAATGGGAGAGGAAAGAGAGAAAAAGTTACAGGGTGAAGGCTGTCAAATCTGCTGCTTTCATTTTCTAATATTACAGATCACAACGTGGTGTTTGAGGAAATCAGAGGCTTCATTTAAAGACGAGAGTGGCAGGCTAATGGCAGCTTAACGGCTCTTAAAGGGGTTATTTATCGGTTCAGTGGAGAAGTATATACAGTGCATACTTCAGTGGGTACATGCGCAAGGCCACATCCATTCCAGGGCAGTAGGAGAGGAAGGCGGCCAGAGCCGTCTCGACAAACAGGCCAAAGATGAGGATCCGGTTCCTGTTGAGCCAAAAGGAAGGAGCCTATCAGAGGAAGGAACTCCTCCATAGGGTTAAACCGTCACAAAGAACTCAATCTGAGTCGGATCAAATGAGAAATGAAACTTTTACATCTGTAAAAAAAAAAAAGTACCCACAGGCCCCGCCCACTTACGACATGCCCTGTTGAAAGAGAGAGTTCCTCCGGGTTTTGCAGATGATGAGGTCAGCCCACTGGACGACCACGATGCTGCTGAAGAAGGCCGTGTGGCAGGTGAACTCCACAATCTTCCGCTGCTCGTAGGTCTGTGGGCACAGACGCGGCGTTGGTTTATGCCCCTCGCATCACTGAATATTCAAAAGGCGCTCCCCAGGCGGATCTAGCCCATCTCCTCACCCACTGCTGCCCATAGCTGTCCTCCAGGTCGCTGAAGTCCCGGTCATCCCAGCTGACGCGGATTCCCACCAGGTGGGCGGGGAGGAAGCCGTTCTCAGCCAAAATCACAAAGTAGGTGAAGAAACCTGCCAGAGCCTGGATCATACCTGTAATGAAAACAGAGTGCTCCTTGATTAAGGATCTTTACAACAACTCAGGACACACACATTATACACATACATACATATACATATGTACACATATATGAAAAGACCCTAAAGGTTTTGATAAAGGACTATATCTATGCTGATGAATCCATATTTCTTTTGTCAGTGAGTATAAATCTTGCAGCGGATCAGTGTTTGTTTCTTAAAGACGTGAACGCCATCATGTCTGTGTTTGTTTGACGTCATTGTGCATCCGTCAGTGGTTAATTGTTCACCCGCTGCCTCTGGACCTGAAGCTGAAATGTCAGAACAGTGATTTATAAATATGACATGTTGCATCTTGCCTCCTTTTTAACGGGGATGGGGACGTGTTGCCATCTGTTCCGAGTGTGTTCGCTTTTAAATGAAGCCCTGTCATATTCTGCCCTATTTAACAGCCTCTGAAATTGGGCCAGCCTTTGATCTTTCACGATTCCCAAACCATATAAAACAAGAGATAAAAGGCATGCGTTCGTGAAAAGGCGCTCAGACCTCTAAAACATGACCGAGATTAAGTGTCGGTAATAGATGGACTCTCCACTCTCAATTTGCTGTAAAATGTCAAGACAATTAGAAGAAAATTGAATGACTGTCTGCTCACCCCTGGATCAAATTTCTTTAACTGTGCTTACAGAAACATTTACAGAGGCAGTGCAAAACGCAGGGATTTCTGATAAATGTCAACATTTCAAGTGCTTTTTTTTATGTCCCTGATGTTTCTTATAACTCGAAAGTCCCTAAAAGAGGGATGTAGGTTTAAGGGCTGTTAGGAAACACTGGGGTCCACACCTATCTGCCCGTACGCCATGCTGATGAGGCGCTCGTTGACCAGCTTGTCTGTTTTGGCGTTTCTCGGCTGACGTTTCATGATGTCGCTCTCCGCCGTCTCATAAGCCAAAGAGATGGCTGGAACCTGGAGAGAGAGAGGGAGGAAACAGAGGGGGGGTGAGCACGCTTTTGTCTTTTGTGGCACGATGGCAGAACCAGCGGAACCCAGACAGATCGCTACTAATATAATCACTCAAAAAAACAGAGGAAAGAAAAACGGCAACGGAAAGGAGAAAGAAAAAAATGGAGAGAGAGAGAGAGGGAGGTGGGGTGAATTCAAGACATTCATAAAAGAGAAGGGTAGAAAGGTCTCTGTAATAAAGATCTTATATTGGCTGGTTTTAGCAGGTAAGGAACAGAGCAATATGTCTGACTTAGGGAGAGAAATCTCCGAGATTTAGGCAGGATTTGAGGTTGGGAGTTGGCGCTGCTTGAAACTGAGCACATCCTCTGTAGTCTGCAAATCCCGTTTGTTTTGGTGTTACACTCCTCTGACCCACAGCGGAATGAGAAGACGAAAGGGGAAGGCAGTATGAAAAAAAGTATGCCCGGGCATTGATTTTTTTTTTCTTTTCTTTGTATGCACTTCTGAGAGTATATACACAGCTCACTCTCGCAAACCCCTAAGTGTGCCACAGATGATAAACAGCCTTCTTCAGCGTCCACTTGCACATGGCCGTGCTAGCTAAAAATAATTGTTGCGCCCTCCATGTGCTGCTAGTCGCTGCTGAATCTCTGCAGAGCCCTCAGGCCCGCAGCCAGGAGCTGCTCTGAGCTGTTAACAAGCTGTTAACATCCTCCCCAGAAAACAGGGGGACACCAAATTCCTTTTTTTTTTTTCTTTCACATGTACACTGCACTCCGAGAACTTTTTTCTCGGCTACGTTTTTGTTTTCGGGTCCTACTGTTTGCTTCAGCGCATCGAACTGTTCGCTCCACCGGCAGCCACTCAGATGAAAGATTTTAAATTGGGTGCATTCAAATCTCTCTCAAGCAATCTGAAAGAGAAGGAACCAATAAAGAAGGGTAACATTCCTCTTATTTGAAACAGGCGAGCAAATGTTTTTCAGCACGGGCAAATTTGCTCCGTTGCTGGGAAACCAAAGAAGTTCATCATTTGTGTCAGCAGATTTATTTATTTATGTTATTTCTTAGCAATCTGAGCAACCTGTTTCAGTTATTCTGTAACTGTTGGTGACTTTAAAACGTTTCCTAGCAGTCCCATGCGAGACCTCTGTAATATATCTTTAATTAGGTTACTGGTAAAAATGTTTGCCTTCCCCTCATGGGGACCTGTACGAATCAGCGGCCGCTGCTCACTGGTGTTTGTTGGCTGAAAGCTGGAAAAAATGTAAATAATGAACACAGAAGTCCTTTTGAATATGTCATTCTGTGATTCCTTTCTTTTGTAATGATGGATTATGCCCCTCAGGCAAGCGGCATGCCAGGAACTCTCATTGTTTCTGCTGGAAATAAAAAGGAGAGACTGGCATCTGGAACCGGCAGAGCTGTGAAATGTGAATCTGTGTGTGTGTGTGTGTGTGTGTGTGTCACCCGCTTGTTGTTGTGCTTGAACAAATGGATGCTGGCGGGGAGCCAAAAGCGTTGACAAGAAAGAGCAAATTAAGGCTTACATTTGGTCTTTTTACCTCCAGGTTCTCACAATTGACACCAGTAGTGGCAGCGTCTGTGCTAATGTGAGTCTGAGCGTACCTGTGGCTGTCGACAGCCGGCCCACTTTCATTCAGGAGAAGATTTCGCGTCGTCTGTTTGACACACACCGTGGCAAACACCCACAGCAACGCAGAGATTTCTGCCACAAATGTATGTTTTCTAACGGGATAAAAAGCCACGTCGCATATAACCGAATATGAAGTTGCTACAGAGGGAGTTTCTGCTTTTCCTGCTCACCATGTCGGTGCCCAGGTCGATGCAGAGGATGGTGACCGTCCCCAGAGGAAGAGGAACACTGGCTATGATGAAGAGGAGGAAGGGGGAAATCTCTGGGATGTTGCTGGTTAGCGTGTAGGCAATGGACTTCTTCAAATTATCAAAGATGAGACGACCTGCAAGAAGAAAACAAACAAGGAAAAACATTTATATTTCATCACAATCATGTCCTACGGCACCAGAATGCTGATTATGTAGTTTCAAGTCTAAATAATCTTTTTCTAATTTGATACTCTTCGTCAAGGTCGAAGGAAATTTCCAGATTTACTGACACACAGAGCGGTTCCCCCTGACTGCTTCATCAGCGTAATTCCGGCATAAATGGCTCGTTTCCACACAGCATATTAGCGAGCCCAAGTTCAATTAAAAGTCAGTCTGCAGGGGCCCGTCTTGAGTCAACCCTCATGTCTGCCAGGATGACTCTCGTATGAGCACTTGAGGGCAGAGCCACGTTTCAAACCGTAAGTCAACACTTTACGAGTGGGAGACCTACAAGTCAGTTAAAATGGAGGCAACCACATCATTTCACCATTTTTTATTAAAGTTATAGTAGGAGATCTTGATCCGATGCGTTGATTTTTTCGTCTAATGGGCATTTTCTGAAAAAACGCTGTGGTTCTTAAGTTACAATTTGGTCCAAACTGTGACATAATAGAAACATAGTTTTTACCCCACTGAGCAACACTCTTCTGTTTTAGCACAGCATGCATTTTCTTTTAAACCAAATGATAGTAAAAGCCATTGTTTTTGGGCAGAAAACACACCCATATACTGTATGTAGATACTGTGTATGCAGTATAATGCATTTCTTTTTGGCTAAATGTCTGTTTGATATCTGATAAAATGCCTGGTCTAATATCCTCTCAAAGATGGCTTCATTTTTCTGCATCTCACTACAAAATCTTGTGAGAAGTCGACCCAAACTCGCATCATAAAATGTTCATTTCTGTTATAAAGAAAACATTCGAAGTCTCAGGTGCCTTTTGACAAAAGAGCTTAGGAGTGAAACATCCCGGTTATTAAATTCATTGTCCTGTGTCAGCCTTTTTTTTTCCCCCTCGCTCTGTCTTTTTCTGCAGTCCTCCCCCCCCCCGGACTCCCCCCCCTCCCCCCCGGTGACGATGGAGGCAAAGTTGTCGTCCAGCAGGATCATGTCAGCCGCCTGCTTGGACACATCGGAGCCGGCGATCCCCATGGCAACGCCGATGTCGGCCTTCTTCAGAGCGGGGGAGTCGTTCACTCCGTCGCCCGTCACCGCCACGATGGCCCCCTGCGCCCGCCGGGGCCCGCCAACAAAGTGTCCAGAGCAGAAAGATAAGTGCCATGATTTAAATCCACCCCCCACGCCCACTTCCTGCTCCCCCCCCACTGCCCCCCCTCTGTCTTAATAATGTCTTTTCAAAGAAGCTCTGGGGAGATTAAAGGAAAAAATGGAATAGAGCAGCAATCATTCAGTAACATGCCGTCAGAATGGGAGAGTCGGGGTGAATTGTAGCGTGACCTCAATATATGAGCCCGTACACACATCTAGTTTTATAATTTTGTCTCCGAGGGTCCCATGCACGGTTTGATATAGTGTTTGACACACAGTTAGTCATACACTGTACAGAGGAACGCTCCCTCATCCCCATATAGCTCGAATGGGCCCCCGCAGCTACAATGTGCTGGCAGAAACACAACCCTTTATTCGTCCACTGAACCACCTGCACTGACAAAAAGCTTAAGTACATTCGCAGACGCAGTCAGGGAGCTGCATTCAGCAGTAAACGGCAGACACACACACACACAAACACCTTCACTCTGATACACACATCTGTATTCAGCCATAGTGCCACACAATAATTCAGACTTTCCTTCTCAGAAACACATGCTTGGATTCAAGTGTGTGAACACACGCACTGAAATTCAGATATAGAGATATAGAGAAACAGCCCGACCGCTCATTCACACACACGCGCGCTCCTGACCACTGACCTGTCTCTGGCAGCCCTCCACGATGATGAGCTTCTGCTGGGGGGAGGTGCGAGCGAAAACAATCTCGGTGTGGTTCCTCAGCAGGTCGTCCAGATACTCGGAGCTCATGTCCTTCAGGTCTGAGCCGTGCACCACACAGGCCTTGGCATCCCTGCGGGAGACACGCACCCACACAAACAGTGACACGGCAGAGCTGCCTTACTGTCAGCGTCTGGTTTGTTTTCTGTGTCCAACTGTGGTGACATGGCTGCAAAAGGAAGGGAACAGCAACCCACAAGGCCAACAAGAAGAAATTGCTCTTAGCTGGTGAATCTCCAATAATTCAATAACGGACGCTATTAATAAGTATATAACTGAAGAGCTATGAACCTGATGTTCAGTGTAAAAAGAAGCTGGGTTCTTCTGCCCCTTTTGAGTTTCTGTGACAGAGTGGGAATGACCTACTGGTGGAGGTATAAACAAACACAGGCTGCAGGGTTATTTTCATAAAAGACCTGGTTTATATGTGTAAAAAGTGTTTTTAAGTCTATCTGATCTAGATTTAATTCCTTCAGATTTTGGCCTGCACGATCCTGAAAAGATAATCCGTTGCGTTTATTTTGAGTTAAGAAAGAAAAAAAAATCTTTTTCCGTTTCCATTTCTCTGTCTGACTCCAGAATAAGACATTCCCATATTTTTTCCGACACAAAACCTTTCACAAACACGCACGCACGCACGCCCGCGCGCACGCACATCCAGGAGACACATCGCTGCCCACATTCTGCCCGCTCACACAATCTCACAGCGAGTTACTCTCAGACGCTTGAGCAAACAACCGAAACCTCCTCTGACACAGACTCAAACGCAGACCCACCTGGGGTTGACTTGGCTCAGAGGGATGTTCAGTCTCTCAGCGATGTCCTCAACCGTCTCGTTGCCCTCGGAGATGATGCCCACACCTTTGGCTATGGCCTTGGCCGTGATTGGGTGGTCCCCGGTTACCATGATCACCTGACCGCGGACAGGAGATCCCATAAATCCCAAAGCCACCTCACATTAAAGCCCGCTGTATCATCATCTGTATGTCGTGTGTCACAGCATCCTTGGGCCTCTCTGTAATATGGGCCCTTCAGCCCCATAAGTCATCCGAATGGGTCGTGCGGTTGTACTGGAAAAGAATGTCCCTATTAGGGGGTGGAGAGTTCAGATCCAGCTGTAAACAGCAAAGAAAAAAGCCTTTCTGGGAAAAAAACATCATCCTTTATATTTCAGGTTTGTGATCAGGCTGCGGGATGTGACCGGTAGATAACCTTCTTATGCTGGGCCTCAAAAAGACTGACTTCTTTCTTTCTGAAATCTGATTTTTCAGGGAGTCATAGACATGTTCACCACAGTGGACCACCTGATCATCATATTATCTTCTTTTTTTACCCTTAAGGCAATCCCAGAATAGAACGATTGGATATTCCAGCTGTGGTCAGCAGGTGTGACTGACTTGTCAGCCATCTTGGATTCAGAAGAGGTTCACTGCTAATTACAATGGCTAACGATATATCAACTACTAACAACTTACCACTACATATAGCTCTTTAAAGAGGGCTGCAGAGAGCATTGAAATGTTTCAAGCACAGAAAGCATTCCATTTAGTAGAAAATAACTCATAACCTGCTGTCCACTGTGGTGGCCCCCATGTGCCCAGAGGGTTAAAGGGACGCTCAACACCTAGGGGACAAAAACATGTCCTCCAATTTATATTTTTCCCACTTCCTGAAATGAAACACAGTTCAACAAAAAAAAACTATCCGCCTGGTTATTTGTTAATTTAGGAGGTAATGATAAAAAACTTGTCCATTTTCAGAATCAGGACCAACTTTGAAGCTAAAATTAGATGAAAGTGTATTTTTTCAGAGGAGCATGTGAAAGCAGACAGATCTGTCCAAGTCTGACCTTTAAAAGAAGAAAAAAAAAATGTTTCGGAAGGGCATGAAGGCAAGAGGCAGACATTTTGATGACCTCAGTAAAAGAGTCTGTGTTCTCACTTACTGGCCGGCAAAAGTGACAAAAACCATCTGTAAACAGAGTATCTGTGACGTTAGATTATACGGTCCACATCTCTCCTCCATCAGAATGTCACTAAGACTCAACACTTCACAGCCAGCTCACGAGGACAGAACCTCGACACAAAATGGGTCGTGCAAGCACCAGACATGACGGTCTGTCACAGAACGCTTAAAGAGGAATAAAGTTAAAGTTCACACACCGGGTCTAAAGGTCAGCTGTCCACTGCAGATATGTTATAGATCAATAAAAGGCCGGCACTGCGTTGCCTCGTCTGGATGACTTTTTTTGTTATCTTTTTCAATAATCCATTGTACAACCTTGGATAATAGTGTTATTCAACATTCAGTATTTATGAAGAACTGAAGACAGTTTTAAAATGTTTGAAAAAAAACACTTCACACCTTTGTAATCCTCCAGTGAAAAGTAACAAAGAGCCAGATCTTTGTACAGTGCTAACTTTTCAGTGAATCAATAAAATGAAAAAAGAAAATCTGCGCCATGGAGACAATTGTCAGAATTGTCAGCTACCTTTTCCATTTCTGATGGCAAAAGAACAAAACAACAAGACTGAAATATGACAAATCCAAATGAAAAATAATTAATTAATCTGAGAAAAAGTGTGTGGACTGATTTGGATCTGATCTTCTGATCTTTTTTTGCTAGATACACAAACAAAATCACCAATAAATTCTGGTTTATTGTAGATTGAGTTCATATTATTGCTGGTTTTGGACCACATCTCTAATTTGATATCCAGTTAAATTACTGTACAGTTGCATGAACATTATATTTAATCAGAGTTGCATTATAAAGTTACCCGATCATCCAAATGCATCTGATAAACAACAGATATATTATTTAAAAAAAACAGCAATGAAAGACTTGATTTAAAGAGACAATTTGGTGCCATTGTGGGGGGAAAAGACGGTAACGCCTCGGCCCAATAAAAACCTTTTCAGGAACTTTTAATCAGGCCTGTCTCTGATTTCAGTCCAAACACTGCAACCGTAGTCTTCACTGACCTGCAGACGCATCTTTACCTTCTTCTGCCTCCAGTTGGGTCTTTTTTTTTAACTCAATTACGGTGTGTCTTTCAAATATTCATTATCATTGGGAGCGTGATCACTGCCGCATCTGAAATTAAACGTCTGAGATCTCTTCCCCTTATTTGGAGTCGTCGCTCTGAATTAGGATGCCTCCGCCTCATTATCCATTTTTTCTAGCCCTGATGGAAGCTGTTTAACCTGCCTTTGATCCAGCTTATTACCTCTCTGCCAAACATGTGCTCTATGTGCGTTTTGCAGCCGATAGAGATCTAATCTAAAATTGGATGTGATATAGCCAAACTGCATTTTACAAATTACTGCCACAATATAAAATCAATCCATTATTATTTTTTCCAATTTCTTTTTCTTTTTCTTTTGGATTACATTCCTGCCCAATTAGTTCTTCTACAGCTTTATCCTTTAAATGGTCTCATCTTGGTGTGTTCACATAGGTATTCCAAACCTGGTTGAGCTTTGAAATACCTCTGAGAAATCGCTCCTTTCTCACTCTTGGAAGGAATTCATGAGCCTTCCCTCCGTAAATGAACTTCATTTATCCATCTGCTATCATCGATCACGACCCCGGCGGTGACCGGTTGTCGTTCGGGGTTCATGTGAAAAGACATTTGCCATGCAAATCCCCCTTTTTTCCGAGAGGCTTAACACCGAGGCCACAGGAAAAGGGCTTCTCTGGGCCGACGGTGACGGGGGGGGGGGGGGGGGGGGAAATGTGTGGAACCAATTACCTTGATGCCAGCGGAGCGGCATTTACCCACAGCGTCAGGCACAGCGGCACGTGGGGGATCAATCATCGAGATGAGGCCCAGGAAGCAGAGCTGCTCGGTGGGAAAGTTGGTGCCATCGCAGTCGAAGGTAAATCCTCGAGGAAACTGGGATGAAGGCAGATTCAGGTGGCAGAATCCTGTAAGAGAGGGGGGATCAGCCAGGTGATTGCACATAACAGACTGAAATGATGGCATCCCCTGAAACCCACGCTGAGGGAGGGGGTACGGCTTTTTAAATACTGACCACCCGATGCCTTTCTGGATGCACACAGACCTTATTCTGATCTAGTTCCGAAACGCAATCAAGCACATTTATCCCACGATATTCACGCTGCCGTGGTCGCATTCAAGGCAAAAACAAATATTGAATCATCTTGAGGCATCAAAGCTTCGATCCTCATGGCCGTCCTAGGCCTGACACACATTCCACAGGAAGAGGGGGGTGTTCCACATCCTTCCTCCGAGAAAGAGCTGATAACACGTAATTATTACCTGTGGCGCTATATCCAAAAATGCCAGCCTCCATTTTTTTTTTTTTGTGTGTGTGTCTGCTTGTCAAGATGATGACATTTACAGAGACAGAGAGGAGGAGACTTTAAACACACCTCGGGTAATTACTTTTTACCCAAAAACTGTTCGATGGCATTTAACAAGGGAAAATATGATTTCATTATCATGTCTTAATTCAGCCCGGATTAAGTTGAATTAATTTCATTGCTGAAATCAAATTGACAAAGAAATCTCTGTATTTTTTAGAACTAATAATTCCGGATAAGTGTCCACACCCTTTGAGGAGTTCATATAGGAGGCCGTTTCTGATTTTATGGAGACATTTAGGGTGAAGTGCCCCGTTTAGGGCCTCAGTTGGTGCTGCCACACGTACCGAGCACTCTCTCCCCGAGTCCGCCCAGCTCCATGTAGGCATTCTGGAAAGCCTCTCTCCAGTTCTCATCGAGCGGGAGCTCCTGGCCCTGGACCATTATGGTGCTGCACCTGTAACAGTGAGCGGGACACTCAGCTCCACGGCTGCCGGCGGAGCAATTATGCTGCACAAGAGGATAAAATAGCTCCTTCAGCTGAATGGACTGCATCACACGGGCTTTTTACAAATGATTGTCGGGGCCTTGACGAGTCATTTGGAAACGGCGTTTTAATGACACTCGACATTCATTTCACAATGGATATTTACCAGGATAAAAGGAGGTGTGTTTTTTACAGGCGCACAAAGTGCACCGGAGAACGGCACTTGATCTGGGGATCAACACTGGGATGCAAAAGTGGGCAAATGGGGGCAAAGGGGGGGCAAAGGGGGAGGGGAACCTGCCATTTCTGGTGAATCTGTCATGCAGGTATTCTAAATTGATATTTTTTAATATAACAAAGGATGTGAAAGGTGGGGTTAATAAGCAATAAATCCAATTAATACTTTTTTTTTTATCATTTCTGTCTCATGTGGTTTCAAACTGAATATTTAAGAGCAGCTGTTTTTCTTATAAATACCAAAATGTTATAAATAAATATGTACATTAACAATTACAAAGTTTGTTTAGTATCCATCTCCTTGGAATTAAATTGTTATGCAGGGGGAAAAAAAGGACATGGTGAGGAAAATGTCAGCAGCCCGATTTTTCCCACCAGATTATGCAGACTGGTGGTGATTTCAGCCTTATGAAACATTTTCACGGGGATGTGACTGGCGGTCGGTGGTGTTTTATATTCTAACCCCAACCCTCCAAACACTGCTGGCTTCTGTAGGAAAAACAGTTCAGTCGCACAGAGACCCAGGGAGACGCTTTCCTCCAGCAGGAGGACGCGGCTCATTAGCGGCGGACTATTTTCTCAGGCAGATTAATCCACGTCGGGCGGCGTGCACATGAAGGACGGCTAGATAAATATAAATACAGAGTGTGTGCCTGTGTTGATGAAGAGCCGGTGTCACCCGGGTGAACGGAGTGGTGACCTGGCCTGGTTGGAACACTTTAAAACAACACTGGCACCTTTGGGTTCGAGGTGAGATGAATAAGATATGTCAGGTTTTTGGTTTCACAGGCCCAACTTTTAAGGATGCCTCTGAGGAGAGAGAGAATGATGTCTGCGTATCCGCAACACAAGCAGAAATGTAAACAACTCCAATTTGGCTCCACTCTCCGTTCCGAATGTACAATCAATCCGTTATTGATCCACAAACCTGTCCAGGATCCTCTCTGGCGCTCCCTTCATGACAAGAATGTGCCCAGAGGGATTGTCCTCCACTTCATGGATGGAAAGCTTGAGGAAACAGAAGGGAAGAGGGTGAGAAGAGTTCCTTTGTTTTGTAAAAAAGAAGCAGACTGAAATCCTTCCCTGTCGGGACAGAAGGTACCGAATTTCAACCTTTGCGACGGCATTTTGGGGAGCTGAAGTCCTATTTAATCCGGCTTGACAGAGTGCACATTGAGAGTCATGCAGTCCCTCAGCTCATGTTGCATTCGCTGACTCTGGGACACGCACACGTCAGTTGTTGCACATTCTACTACCCTTTCCCCAACACAACCCATCAGGCTGTCCCTCTGACAGTTTGTGTGGGAGTCACTGTGCAGAGCAAGGACATTTCTCTCAAAAATATTTCTTTTAAAAATTAATTTTACCACAGAGAGATAGATTTTGGATGCATAATTAATGGTTTAAACGATTGTTCCATAACAACCGATTTGAAAATTGGTAATAAACAAGCTTATCACTGTATCTATTATGATAGTTGATTGATATTTTAATGTGCAAACACATGCACGATTGTCTCTCATCAAATTTCAATCTTAACTGCTCAAAATGCGGAGTATTCTCTCCCCTTTGCCAGAATTAGCAACACGATGATTAACAAGCTGGCTGTGGAGCTTAATATCTTCGTAGCAGTGGGATGCTAATGGGAAGCTATTAGGTCTCTACTCATGACCTTATCCTTATTTATTTTATTTAAATCTCAGTTTTGAAAAAAAAACACTATTACTGTGATCAGTGCCTTGAGATTTTCTGTAATGAAACGAGAGTTCTTTTTTTCAACAGAAGGTTTTGAAATGTCTTTTTCAACTATAAAATTCTCAGTAAGAAACATTTTTAATTAAAATCTGCCTGTGGGTAAAATCAGGTTTGTAAGAGTTTGTATGGTGTCATTCTGAGAGTGATGACCAGGGCTGAGCATTTCCACCTGGAAATTAAATGAACCAACAATAAACTGGAATTTGGTTAAAAGAAAAGAAAGACGTGTTTGTTTCTTATTTACTAACTCGCCACAGACAACATGTGAAGGACATTTCTGTCCGAAAACGAGGCCTCTAGGTGGTCTCGCAGATATTTGGAAAAAGAGACAAAAGAAAAAGGAGTTGTTGTTTTTTTCAAAGAAAGAGCGTGAAATTATACGTTTTCTTCCCAAACCCAACACATCTAATGTTTTGGTCTGGAATATGTCAGGATGAAGGGATTTCCTTCAATCTCTGTTAACAAAAAAGCTCATTTTTGCTTTGGCCGTCCCAAACCTTTTTGATTGTGTGACAGTACTAACCTTTTTATTAACAGATGTGTAATTGACACTAATGAAACACTCCAGGCAGAAATTTAGAGGACCAGCCACATTTCTTTTGTGTGACCTACACTGCGGTGTGTGTTTGTGTTAGCGTGTGGCATATTGGGCCCCCTTCCAGGTATGGATGTAAAGCAAGGTGTCGCCTTGAAAAGAGCAGGAATGTCCAGGCTGCTTCCGCAGGATGGAAAAAGGTTAAGAAATGAATATGAATGAACCCGCCTTTGGTGTGTAAAATAAATGGTATGTAAAATAAATAAATAGATAAATGTCTTCAGAACGTCTGGGGAACAGAAGGAGAAATGTGTAACTGCGACTTAATAAGTAGTGAACAAATTCAGTATAAAGATGAAAATCAGAATGAAAATCAGTGGGGTTTTTAAAAAAATAAATAAAGATGAAACTCAGCAGTTAACAAATGTGTATGTCCACCAACTTCTGCTATGATAAGATCCAATTTGAGGGAAAAGTGTGAGATTTTGGCTTCAGCAGGAAGCGGTGAGCAGACTGTGGTGAGGCCCGCTGGGTACCTGGTACTTGTTGGTGGAGTTGAAGGGGATCTCGGCCACTTTGGGGTTTCTGGCTCTCATTTCTCGAACACTGCCGCAGCACTGCTCGATGCATTTGAACAGGGCCGACTCCGAGGCGTCCCCCGCCGTCTCCCTCTGGGGAAAGACACAACACACACACACACACACACACACGGTCAGAGGGGCGCGGCCTGTCCCTGTGCGGCCGAGGGGGAGCTTTCGGGATTATGCGTTATTAAGCGGATGAAAGCAGTGCGGGAGAGGTTCTCATCAATGATGCAGGTAGCGTCGGTCGTTACGGAACAACTGAAAGTGCAAAAGCTTGTTTTACTTTCCCATTTACCGGATAAATAATTTGAATAAGGAATCTCAGACTCTGTGAGGAGAGTGTGACAGAAAGGCACAGCGAGGGCTGTTTTTAATGAGCTGGACATCAGAAGTCCCCACAAACGTCGCGTTTACACGATGTTGTCATGAATACCAACGAGGAGACGCGACCGGCCGTAAAGGCAAACGATGAGTTGGCTGGTGGAGTTTCCTCTTGTGGCATCAGGCAGGAGTCATTTGCAGACAATGGGGGCTTTATCTCGAAGAGGCTCGGTTGAAAATGACCACTGAGCAGCACAAACCTGCTGTGGTGATTGCCATTTCTGTGCCTCCAAATGAGACTGAATTTCTCTTTCAAATGAGACCGAATTGGAATATGAGCCGATTATTCGCAAGTGTGAAGAACACCTATTGACAAAGCTATGAATAGACCCATTTTGGCTCATTGTTGTTTGTCAGACTATTGGCATTGAGGCTGGTATGCTTTTGTGATACTCCGTGATGATTTTGGGTGAAATTCTCTTTTGATGATTACTAACAAAAAGGGGGGAGAAAGTGGAGAAGAGAAATTCTTGAGGCCTGTTTGTTCGAATCTAGGCAGAACTGGTGACCTGATGCCTAACATGCACGAGGAAGCCGGAGGAGGACAAGCCATTTCCCTTTGTTTCTGTTTATTCATTCATGAACGGAGGAAGAAACAAGGACGCTCACTCTGTCGGATTTGTCCTTGTTTGCACCTTTTCATGAATGAGTAAGTAGATCAAGGGAATCCTGCTTCTCTGTTCTCACGGGGACTGGCTGTTGTGATGGCTCAGGGAGGCAGGTCTGTTACATAATGCAGGGACCCCCCCCAGCTGTGTGTGTCTGTGGGACCTAACGTTGTGTTTCCAGGGGTGCTTCGGATTGTGCTCTGTGTGTGGTAAGTGTGTGTGTGCGTGTGTGAGGTTAATTGGACGAGCCGTCGAAGGCCAACTGCAGCTGACAAATGATTTCATGGGTCGTCTTTTTTGCTCAACGTTCAGCACAGAGGGCAGGAAAAAAGACGACAAATGACTGCAGCACGTCCTCTGAACCGATCGCTTTTACGCATTTACCTGAAATCTGGGGATTAAGCATTTGATTGCTGATATGACGTGTTATGCTATAAAAAGGATTTTTATCAAAGCAATGGATCCAAGCTGGATGATACATTTATGTTCACCGTCAACTAAAATTCTATTTTATTATTTCAATTTAACAACTGTAAAAACAGAACACCACTGTTTGAAAAAAAGCTGCTTCTGTGATAACAAGCTGTCATTTGTTAGGACAGAGAAGACTAAAACTGAAATTAATATGACTGTTCGAATCTACGGTAAGTTCTGGTGACAGTGGTCACGTTAGGTGGGTATTTATGGTATTTTTATCATCAGAAAGTTTCTGATACAGGAATGGGGCCAAATGATAGAGGTAAAAGTTACAAAAGTCCCTCGTCAGAGCCTTGAGTTGTGCACACTCATATTATCTGTTTAGTATCTGATTTACTTTTAGATTTGCATGTAAAATGTTTTTACGCCTTTAAAGCCGAAAAGATGTTTATTAAATTACACAAAATTTCCATTTTGATTCAGACTGGACGTAATGAGTTGAAAAAAGATGCCAAAAGGGGTCGATATGTTTGCATTGAACTGGATTATTACTACTTACTAGTCTGTTACTAGCTAACAAGGCATGTAGTTCATGTCACCCAACATGTCAGCGCACACGTTAGTTTATACCAAACTTTAAGAAAGCCCTCCTGCTCTGGCATGTTGACATATGTTTTGTAAAGCTACGTCTGTGGTGTGTGTGAGTGGAGCAGCTACCATCGGGATGGGGAGGTGCTCCTGTCCGGCTCTGAAGTCCGCCCTGTTGCACAGGCCCGCCACGCGGGAGAGAGCAGTCCAGGTACTGGAGCTCATGTCGAAACCGAAACCTGAGAGAGCGGTAAGAGAGATGGGTTAGTTTTCTCTTTTTGTCTTCTTTTTTTTAGCAGGCCTGATGCAGTATTTATAACCCTGGCCGGGCTCTGGGTTCACAGAGTGGCACAGGATACATCAGGATATCTGAATAACAGCACCGGGGTCAGTTAAGTTGAGCAAATCACGTTCTCCTTGACAGAAACGAATACTCCGAGTCCCAGTCTGGAAAATGGCATCCATTTTTAAAGAGAATGCCTTTTTCTTTTATTTAAAAAGAAAAAAAGGAGATTGCTTGTGCTGAAATTTCCGCCGCTCCACCCAATCGAATGGAGAGCGACCTTCATTCCGGTGTCGGTGCCTGTGTTCATTTTTCATATCTGATATTACAGCATTCACTGTCACTGTGGTGATGTAAACAGACCGGAGAAGTGAGGATGGGAAGCTGCGAAAGCCGGAAAGGCAGAGCTCCTCCAGAAAAAGGAAAATCTCTGCTTTTGTGCAGAGGCTCATTGTGGTCTGACTCACCGATCATTAGCATGCAGACGGCACCTGCTCTTTTTTTTGTTTTTTTTTGTTTTTTATCTAAATATTTTGACTCTTGTTGGAGGCTTATTTGAATATTTGGCTTTGTTTCTCCTGCTCTGCCCCGTTTGGTGGAGGGCGGGGAGTCGGACCGCTCCGGCAGAGACGGGAATTCTGGGAAAAGGTTTGTTTATAGCAGAGGGGTTGTGCCATTCTCCATTAATCCGAGCAGCGGAGTGAGCAGCCCAGTTTGCTGGCTGTGCGCAGTCCCACTCCCCTCCTAATTCCCACACAACCCCCCCCACCCCATTCCCCCCCTTTCTTTATCAGCCTTTTTCTCCAGCTATTCCCCCCGGCTCCCTCCGCCCCTCTTTGTTTCCCCTTCTCTTGCTTTCCAGTGCCCTTCCCCTTTTACCGGTCTGGTCCTCCGTGGTGTCCACCTCGTGGATCTGGTCGTCGAACCACATGTGAGCCACGGTCATGCGGTTCTGGGTCAGCGTGCCCGTCTTGTCCGAGCAGATGGTGGAGGTGGAGCCCAGGGTCTCCACGGCCTCCAGGTTCTTCACCAGGCAGTTCTTCTTGGCCATTCGCTTGGCAGTGAGAGTCAGACACACCTGGGGAGACGGTGGGTGGTGAAAGTAGGGGGGGTGGGTGCGGGTGGGTGATAGAAGGAATGAGGAGGAGAGGTGAGGATGGATTATTGTTCCTGGAAGAATGTGAGGGCAGCGGTGCGTTCACGTGTTTGTGCGTGCCAGGTGTCCGGTGGGTGTGCGAGTGGGCTTTTTGGTTGGCTGGTTAACAGCAGGTGAACAGAGACAAGGAAATATAACGAACAGACATTCTCCATATGTTGCAGCAGATAGGTCAACACCCATTAATTCAAGCTGACCGCATCAGCCGCGCTCCAATAAGAGCGTCCCAGGTACTGTGGGTGTATTTAAAGCAAACGCAGCCAAAGGAAGCGGCCACTGGAAGATAATTCATTTTCTCTGACCGGTGAAATGTCGAGATGTCATTTCAAATGCCAGCTGGAACCCGCCTGGGCTCCCTCCTTCCACCAGGGCAGAAAAACTCAGTAAATTCAGCGTTTGATTATGAATGATTTTCTTTAGTACCGTTAGAGCTACGGCTAACATTCAAATGTGGGGAAATACAGGCACCAGAGGAACAAGGAGCAATGATGGTTGCTCAGTTTGATTTAGTTACAACTAAATGGAGCCAGGAGGCAAAATATCAGAGCTCAGAAGCTGATACACTCAAAGCTGCACTAATCCATATTTCCATGTCAAATACAGATCACATAGCAGTTGAAAAGCTGCCGTCCAGCAAAAAAAAACTTGTGATGAATTTCTAAGCAATGCGATCATTCTTAGTCACTTTTTGTTGGTTATTTAAGTTTCATCAAAATAGTAACTAAGGGCCGAAAACAAACAGAACCAGATCACAACGGAGCTAAACAGGAAGCAGATGTTGATTCTTCTGCATTTGTTGACACGGAGCTGACTGTTGTCAGAACCCATTCAGATACACAAAGCAGAGGTTCATTTTGCGGCCCTTTTCTTTTTTTCCATTTCCTTTTTAATCACTTCTTCATTTCTCCAAATGTAGGCATTTAAATGTGCTTTTAATCAAGTTTAATTTGTCACTGCAGCATTATGCACGGTGAAATGCTTGATGTGCTTAAAGGAAGTTTGAGTTGTTAAAAATGATACGAGTGAAAAAATGTATAAGATTGAATTCGCAAAAATAAAAAAGATTGGGCAGGAGTAGAAAGAATCCTTGGTATTGTCCAGTTTCCTGGTGAGATTTGGCTCCAAAGAGCAATGACTATTTGGTTTCTGTTGAAACAGATCAAATAGATTTGTAATAAAAATTCATGGCCCACATATTAGTTTCTTCTTTCAGCTATTCACTACAGGTACAACAAACTCCCAGAAGCAGCAGCTGCTTCAAGAGGCCATTTCTAGACTTGTGTGCTTCACAAACAGAAGTGAGGGGCGGCTTTAACTAATCATCGCTTTGTGCCCAAGCTGAAGCCACTCAGCTGCCAATCAGCCCGTGGATTTAGTTAGAAAACAAAGAAAAGAAGCCCGTCGGCTCGTCTTTTTAAACTTCATCTCACGCTTCTTTTCGCTTTCTATCGTCCAAAAATGGTACATCAAATCCTTCAGACCTGCACAAGATCACAGCCTTGCTCATTATGAACTGACGTGCGCGTAATCTGCCTCCAGCAGAGACTCTAAAAGGCTACAACAGAGGAACAGAACTGTTGCAGTTTAAAAAGTTTAGAATGAACTTTGGGATACTCACAGTGACGGTGGCCAGGAGGCCCTCGGGCACGTTGGCCACGATGATGCCGATGAGGAAGATGACGGCCTCCAGCCAGCTGTAGCCCAGGATGAGCGACAGGACGAAGAAGCTGACGCCCAGGAAAACCGCCACGCCGGTGATGAGGTGGATGAAGTGCTCGATCTCGATGTTGATGGGCGTGCGGCGCACCTCCAGCTCGGAGGCCAGGGTGGCGATGCGGCCCATCACCGTCCGATCGCCCGTTGCTATGACGATGCCTTGGGCCGTGCCTGGAGGGAGAGGGGAGAGAAACCTGTTAACTCGGACCGCAACTCAGGTTTTGTGGAACTTGTCCTTTAAAAATGAGAAGAGGAATCCCGGGTTCAGCCGTAATACCACACGGTGGGGAAGGCCTCTTTTTCCAAATCTGCTGTTATTACGGTTTGTGAGCTGTTAGTTGCAGCTTCCAGGAGGCTGACAGCCGACCTGATGCTCTGTCTCAATGTGCGGCGTGAAGGGGCGGAAAAATGAGCGCTCACACTGTGCCAGACGCCGCCAGAGTGGAGTGCTGCACTTTGTAAACAGGAAGGGAGCCTGATGGGGAGATGATGGCTGGATGTAAAACAGTGATAGATGGAGGCGAATTAGAAGGGCCGGCCGGTGATTGATGGCTGAGAGGGCTGAACAGATGCTGGTCTGAGTGAGCAAGGAGAGGATCTGAATCTCTTTAAAGACAAATGATCCCGTCCCAGACCTCCTTCATCAGCACTTTTTATGGGGACTACTTTATCAGTTGATACAGCGACCTGCCCAGACGTTAAACCTGCCAACAGCTGACCGCGACAACATTATCTGGATTTGACGCCACGCATTTTTTGTTTTTTTTAAGGGAAATCAAGCTGGCTTAAATGTGGTCTGCCTTCTGTGTTGATGCAGACCACTCCAACAGTGCATTTCTATAGAGCTGGGTTACCAACAGCTAACATCATTCATAAAAGGAGATTTTATAAGGGGAAGAAGATAAAAAAAACACTCATGTTTTAATGTATTTTTGTGTCTTTTCATTCCCTCCACTCTAATATTTTAGGACTGTCCCTAGCTAGGCCTCAAAAGCATCCTATCTGTTAATAGTGATATATTTATTCACAAATTACGCTGTATCCTGCAATTTTTACGTCATCAGTCTGGGAAGCAAGTCCAAAAAGATCTTTTGGGGACACCAAAATGCCTGCATAGTTAACTCTTGATCAAGGGAGTGGGTTGATGAGAGGGAATTACATCATATTTGGCAGCTGGTGTCTTCAGTCTGAAAAAAAATATCCCAAAACATCCAAGATAGTGTTTCCAAAAAGATGTCTCCCTTTTTTGCAATAATCTTCTGATTTACATTCCTTCGTGTTTCGTCATTCTGGGTTTTTAATCACATTTATGGATCACATTTGTGCCCCTGAGCTCTGCATGTTACTGAAACCTTCACCAGACAAACATTAGCACCTTCGGTTTTGAAAAATGTGACTGTAAAGATCACAGACACAAATTTCAGCTACATGAGGGAAAAAAATAGGGGAATATCTTTGGACAAAATTGTGTTTTATTCATACAAGGCCAGGTTGAGATTTGAGGAACCAAACTAGAGGAATGAAGCACTGGAGGTGCTCCATAAATTCTTGGCCATGATTGACTCATTTATTCCCAAATGAAAAATGTAATTGAGAGCTCAAAGCATGCAAGCATGTTCAGCAGCCTCAAGTGATGAGAGCTCAGCTATAAGATGCAGCTTTGATTTCAAGAAAAAACTGAAGAAAAAGCTTCCAAATGCTGAAAAATTTTAATAAAAATATATAAGGTTTGTGACTCCCTGGCCACTCTCTTGTTAAATTGACAAACCAAGGACTAAAGCATCTATTTCTAACACCATCCCGATTAGAATACAACTCTGGATTGTGACAAGTCTGAGGATTCTGGCATAAGAATCCAATTGAAATGCTTAAAGCGTCATTTTTTGATGATTTGCAGCCACTGACATCTTAATTTCCCACCGGCTACCTTCATTACTAACCCTCCTCCACTGACTCCAGCTATCTGCGGGATGAAGGGATGGCAGCTTAGATGAGCTGTGCACTCACACGCATCCACAGTTTGGTGGTAACACAAAACAACGCTGATCTCCAGATGGCCGGGAGACAGATTTCTAGAGGCGGTGAGAGACAATCTCGGCCAGATGCGGCCTACTGACCCTCGACACAGTTGGTGGAGAAGAAACAGATGTTGCGGGTCTCCAGAGGATTCTCGTGGGTGAACTCCGGGGAACGAGTTTGGGGCTCGGATTCTCCCGTCAGAGAGGAGTTGTCGACCTGAAAACAGGGAAAAAAGGAAGGGAAACTGTAACGGAGGGACAGCACCGCAAACAGGAGACGCTGATGGGATGGAAGTATCGCATAAAATCCCCACAAAGGCATTTTGAGGATGATGGAGAAGAAGTCCCAAGGCATTATGGGATAGGATTACAAATCCAGCCTGAAAGGAAATCTAATAAGAATAAAAAACCTTTCTCTGGGCGCGTGAGACCGGAAACACAATCCCTTTATTCACAATAAAGAGACGTCGTCTGACAATGGCCGATGCCGAAGATGTTTCTCATTCCACACGGCATACCTTGACAACAATGGCATGTGAAACATTAACAACACAGGTGCTCCCTGAACCTTCCAGGAGGGGGGCATTCGTAGCCAGAACACATAATTGCCAGACAGCAGCTAAGCTAATAATATCTCCATCTGAGCGGGGCGTTCAGATGTGAACACAAAATGTTGGCTGGCGTTATTTGATGGGAAAAGTAATTGTTTTAAGGAACTCTCATGTGGGGGAGGAGGGGGGGGGGTGGGAGTCTGCCACAGAGGGGTTTTGAGTCCTTGACGAAAGCCCTTGACTGGGTTTTCGTAACTCAAGCACTTGGAGTTAAGAAAAGGCTGTCTCGGCTTAAAGTGCACCTCTTAACTGACACGAAAGAAGGATCATTACACAGAGGAACGTGAAAAGTGTTCAGACAGTTTGTAGAATCACACTTTTATCAAGTCGGGAGTGAAAATGTTCCAAAACCAAATGTTACCTTTGGCTCAACTTGTAATGGCAAATATTACCCTGCTTGATTCCATTTTCAAATACCAGAGAAATGACTACTTATGAGGTCTATCCCCCGGGGGCCCCTCTCCTACCTTGCATCCACTGGAGGAGACGATCCGAAGGTCGGCCGGGATGCGGTCCCCCCCTTTGATTTCCACCAGATCCCCTTGCACCACCTGCTCTGCATTGATCTGCATCTTCTCCCCCTCCCGGATCACCAGCGCTTGCTGGCGCGAGGGAAAGGGCAAAGAGAAAGAAGGGGAGCGAAGAGGAGACAGGGAGCCATGTTCAGACGGAGGATTTAGTCAGATAAGGGGAGAGGAGACAGATATGGGGGAAAAATAGAGGAGCCAGGGGGTGCTCTGATATTCTAAAAGCAGAGATAGCTGCAAGAGGAAGGAGAGGGAGGGTCAGGTAGGGAAAAGAGGCACGAGAAGAGAGAGAAAAGAGCCTAAATAGATTAAAGAATTAGGCGATGGCAGGGCCAGAGGTGGATAAGGGAAGGGGAGCTTTATGCAAACACTATTGCTATCCAAAGTTGACTCTAACATTTATTTCCCTTTGTGCAAGCGTATTAGGTTTCCGCTCAAGTGAGTGTGTAAGTCCTGGCTGAGGGATGTCTCATTGATTCGGGGAGAGCACTGAGACAACACCGAACACCCCGAGCATCCGCCTACCTGAGGGACCATTTTTTTGAAGGAGTCCATGATCCGAGAGCTCTTGGCCTCTTGGAAGTAGGAGAAACAGCCGGTGATGATCACCACGGCAGCCAGCACCACACCCAGGTACAGCTGAAAAACAGGGAGAGAGGGGGGGGGCGGGGTAGATATGGTGAGCCTCTGATGTGAGGGAAAGCTCTCTGAACCAGTCCGTCTATTTTCAGTTGTGTGGTGAAAGGAGCTGTTTGGGCTTCAGCTCTCACTGATGCGAACCAGACAGCCAATCGGTTTTTGCGGGAGTCGCCTGCCAGCCGGCGCTCTGCGTGAGAGAGAGACTTCCTGACTCCAGAAAAGTTGGCTCGTTGGAAGTGCCTGCTTTCATTTGACAGCGAGAACACCGCGTTTTGCTCTCGTACACACAGATGACTTCTCTTTCTCTTTTTTTGGGGCGAAACCCAGCTGTGCAAAAGCTTTTGAACAGGGAGACGAACCTGCATCCTCAGATCAGCCGTCAGTGTTTGAAGCATCCCCCCCCCCCCATATCAGCGTTGAGCGTGCTGCTCCCGATTCTGCTCTCGGCCCGGTCGGGTTCAGTTTTGGGGTTTAAAGGGAGCGGAAATGAACGTCTAATGCCCCACTGTGAATCTCAGAATTGCCCAGCGGCACTTCGACATATTGAGAGTTTTTCTCAAACCAAATGAAGTTTTCTTTTCTTCCCCAAAACCATTGATAGTGAAGATGAAGTTTCCATCTGGCAGGGTTTGTGGGAGGCCGGGTTTGTGTAACTTTTTCTGTCACCAGCAGAAGGCTTTTCTCCCTTGTTCCTGTATCTTCTTCTTCTTCTTCCTAAATGCTGCTGATGTGTTGGTTCATGTGACCGTTTGAATCCCCTTTTGGTTTTCGTTAAAATGGAGGAAAAAATACCGCCTGAATACTCAGTTGAAGTATATCAGAATATTGGATGTTTTTTAACCCAAAGAATCAACTGTGTTTAAAGAGAAGTAAAGCTCGGAGTGTCGTCTGCTGCTACAGAAATGATCTGGACGCTGTCTCTTTCTAGTTCAGAGAATCAATAGTTCGCAATTCGACCCTGAAATGTGTTTCAAGCGGCTCCGTCGGGCCGCGTCGCCTCAGCTGAACTCAAACAAGCTCCGGCTGGGGCGCTTGTTTTCTGCCTGGGGGCTCGAACTGGCTGCCACAGATTCAGCCGTGAAGTCATTCAGCGCTTCTCTGAAGGGTTCTTGACTGTGTGCGGGTAGAATCACGTCTGGTTTCCAGGCCTGGAGATCACAGCCGGTCACAGCCGGTCAAAGCCGGTCAAAGCCGGTCAAAGCCGGGCGCTCCGCTGTGAGCGTCACACTCATTTCCCTCTGTGTTGTCCAGTAGATGATGTAACCATCAAGGTTACTTTTACAGCAATGCATTGAGGACTCTGAGAAACACATTTGTGTGTTCTATGTGAGGCTGATTTAAGGCACATTTGAATACTTTCAATTAAAAATGGGTTTTGAATGGATCAGAATTTTTAATTAAATGTCACGCTTTTTTGGGGAATGTATTGAAGAAAATTTGGAGTCTAGGGCCAAGTTTGGAGGAGGATCTGGCATCAACAGAACCGGCGATTGGACACAAACTCAAGTCAAGAGAAACACACACACACACAGACGTATGTGGATGTTTCCTAGACATTTCTACACATGCATTTCCCTCACGTTGTCGTTGGCCGGCTCGTCCTCGGTTGCCGCCTGGATGCTGTAGGCCAGGAAGCAGAGGATGGCGCCGATCCAGAGCAGGATGGAGAAGCCCCCGAACAGCTGACGGCAGAACTTGACCCACTCCGGGGTGGTGGGGGGAGGAGTCAGGGCATTCGGACCGTCCCTGGCCAGAATCTCCAAAGCTCTGGCACTGGTCAGGCCCTGGGGAGAAACAATTTTGGGGGATTTAATATCTTTCGGCCTGCAGCAGGGATTTCTTTTTTTTTCTTTTTTTCTTACAACTCAACGGCCCATATTTTACCACGGCTCCAAAAGCTCTTTTACTGCTACAGTTTCGGGGCCGTGAAGCCTCTTCTCCTGCCCTATTTAACAGAGCAAGTACAATAAACTGGGCGACTCTTCTCATATAAGTTGCTTGGCTGTAACTTTACTGGACCTTTTTCTCCTCATATCATGGTCTAATTCACATGAAATCTATCTTCATAACCTGGAATAGCGGGATCTGATTCCATTTTACAACAACTCACGTCGACTTTCATTCAAACTCTAACAAGTGCGGCCTTTTTTTTTTTCTTTTTTTTTGCCGCTTGTGTTATTACCTGTTCTGCTCATTCTCAGTTCTTTTTTTTTCTTCATGCAAATCGTAACTGGAGCTAATCTGCTTCTCTTCACCCGCAATGCTGCAATGTCACATTTTACGGCCAGCAGCAAAGACTTCTGTGATGTGCTGGTGTCTGCCAGTGTTTGGGTCTGTTGGACTTTTTTTCTTCTTTTTTTTTTGCATCAGAGAGTGGAAGTTTGCTTGCGTGAGCAGGGGATTAGAGATGAAGAGGACTCAAGGTGAGCTGAAGACACTGCGGTAGGTCTGAGTCGACCAAAGCGCGGCTCGGCCTCAGTTCCCAGCTCAGGCAGGCGCAGATTACATCTCTGTGTGGGACATTACAGCAGCTCTTTGTTGTGTGTTTACGTGAAACTGAAGCCGGGTAAATACGGGTCGTTTTGTGCATGTGTGTGTGTGTGTGAGTCTGCCTTTACCCGTGTGATGTCCATTCCGTAGCGCTTTCCGAGATCATCTGGAGATATTTTGTGGTCATCCTGTGGGGACAAAAGCTTTACTTTATCAGCGAGAGCAGAATCTGTCTCTTTGAAATCACAAATGAAGCTGAAATATTGAATCATAAATCGGTTCCTGAAAGCTGTGCGGCTGGAAAAGAAGCGCTCAATTTCTCTGTTTCTGAGTTTGTGTGAATGGTCGGTCTCTGGTGAGGGATCAGAGAGGTCAGGGACGTGCTCTTCCACCGCCTTTCATCGTGCTGGACGACAGTGGAGCAAACTGCTGTGCTCAGTGGTGAAAATCAGAGGGAAGAAAAAAACAAATCTGCTGGTTTTGCTGCTGGAATCAAAGAGAGGAAAACAAAACAAAAAAACCCAGACTGGGGATGTTTTTCTGTTTGTTGGCTTATTCCGACTGTACTCGGGCCACAACTTTCCAAATGTCAAGACATTTCCACTGTGGTGTGAAATGAATGCGTTTTCAGAGGGCCGAATGTGTCCTCAGTGTCCGGCAGAGGGACAGCTCTGTGTGGCCCGGAGCACAGCTGGAGGACGGGTCAATGTGACCTTTTGTTCTTTTAGTTTATTGGCATTTTTGGGAGGGCTTGTTATCAGTTTTGGGGAATGACTGGAACGTTGTCCGAGGCTATCCCGATGAGAGCTGCCACTGAAGATGAAGCAGACGAACAGCAAAGTTGTGTTTTTATTTGAATCTTTTTTTGTAAAATGAAGCTAAAGAGGGCTTTCAGCTGGGGATGGAGAGCAGCCAGATTAAGGCATAGAGGAATAGAGGCGCTTTCTTTCAGTGGCGTCATCGGCCCTCAGGATGAAATCCCAGAAAGCAGGACGGCTTTTTTTTCCTCCACAGAAAACAAAAAGACACGAGAATTTCCCTCACAATTGGGCCCCTGTCGGCTGAAATGGAATCTAGCTAAAATAAAAAAAACTTTTTAAAAAACCTGCCTTCTTATTTATCTGCTGCTGTACTCTGTATTGATCAGCCGCCATCTGGAGGTGACTCAAAGTGTACCCTTTGTGCCGAACCTGTCAGTCACAGAAATGGGATGTTTATAGTTGCAAAGGATTTTTTTTTTTTTTGCTTTAATGAGTCACAGCTTTATGGGACGTGGCGTGAGAGGTGAAAATTAGCCCCAGATCTCAGCCGGGCCTCGCTCTGCACGCCACAGCACGCCGCCGGTGGCCCACAAATGATTCAGCGTCTGTCTGAGCACAAAGCGCGGGCAGCCAGAGGGAGGCTGAGCAGATAGAGGAGGACAGGCGGGCTCAGAGCAGGGTATGGTTTTTCCATTTTGTTTACGGGCCACTGTTTTCATTTACAGCCTTGTTAAATAACCTGGTTCCGTCGGCTTAATGCTATTTGGGGATCATTTGAGAGCAGCAGCAATGGAATCAATCACTGTGCACAGAGAGAGAGAGACACAGAGAGAGAGAGAAAGAGAGAGAGAGAGATAGAGAGAGAGGGTGGAGGCTGATGGCTTGTTTTTCTTACCAAGGACACCTCCTTCTTCAGCTCCTCCAAATCCCTCTCCTTCTTCCTCTTCTTCGCTGCTTTGTCGCCTCCAAACTGTGGGAGAACGGAGACATGAGGCTGTAATTCCAAGCCTGCTGCATGCCGGGGAATGTCTCATGCCATATTTACATTTCTCACAGCATGTTACAGGCATAATGGACTCTGAGTGTGCTGGTTGGTTTCAATCTCCTGGCTCTGCTGTTGAATATGGAGGAGAAAACAGTTGTTGTTGTTTTTTTTTGTTTTTTTTTTGCCATAGTGTGAGTTCCACATTCAAGAGAGTAAAAGAATGTGAGAGTGTGTCTGTGTGTGTGTGTGTGTGTGTGTGTGTGTGTCGTGGACAGTTGGAAGAACGACGCATCATGGAAATCATCTGCCGCTGTCAGTCTCCTCTCAGCAGCACGTGTGCAGGGAGGGAGGGGAGCAGTGAGAGTTTGCGGGGGGGGGGGGCATGAGGGTGACACGGTGAAAAAGTAATCAAAAAAAGAGCCAAAGTGGGAGCGCAGAGACGGCGGAGAGCCTGAAATGTGTCTGGCATAGCAATTTCCCCCCACTGTGGGCGAGCCGGATCCCCAGTCCGCCCCCCCGTAAAGCTAAATGGAGCGGGCCTGACGGAGGGAATACAAGCTAAATTAGGCTAACAAACAGCAAGATGGGAGCAAAGCCTATTAAGCTGGGGCGCCATCGCCCTGAGATGTTAGTGCCTGAAAAAAAAAGGGGGGGGGCTGCCAACACATCTACAGATAACGCACGGCCGCTGACCCTGGGACATGTTCCTCCTCTCAGCTGAGAAAAACAGCGTTTGCATCCTAATAAAAGTCACAGAAGCAAGGCAAAAATGTATTTTTTAGTTATATTTAAATTTAAAAAAAAAGAAAAACACAAAAGATAGCTCTTACCCCTCTGCCCATGGTTGAAGTCCAGACGTGCGCAAGTTCTAATGTGAAGAACAGCCCTCAGGAGCCCCGACCACAGTTGAGACCTCCAGGAAACATGTGCGGAAAACACTGGTGGCTTTTTTGGGCCTGCCCCCCCCCCAATCCAGCACACACCAAATGTCCCACTCCCTCCTGTCAGGGTAACCTGAACCCCCACACAGCCCCTTCCCCTGGAACCCCTCCGCTACCCCGGGCTCACTCCCCCCCCCC